CCTTAAAGACTCTTTTGAAGCCAGCTTTTTGTGTTGAGTGTATTGCTTTGGAGTCCTAGGCTTATTAGCTTTTATGCGGGTTCAGTTGAGGAGTAGAAAAACTGGAACTTTGAGATAAAAGCAAAAGGCTTTCAATGTTACTGGTGAAACAATTTTAGTTGGCTTTTGTTTGGTGTTGGTAGAAGTTGTAGCTGGACAATGAGCTTCTTTGCTACTTAACTAGATACGATCATTGATCTCTTGGGAATTAGGGAGACAATTGTCCCAAATGTGTATCGACTGTTCAGGGTTGATGAGACAATCAGCCATATTTTATTTTGTATTATAGTGTTGGTAGGTGTTTCATCAGTCGTGATTCCAAAGAAACTTCTGCTCTTTTGTTTCTGATAGGAAGATTAGGCAGCTTTCATCAATTTCTCTTGTGTTTGTTTGCTTTCATGTTTTTTGTGGCAGAAGTTAACGTTGTTTCCTGTTGATTGGCCATTCTAGATTTTTGAATGAGCTCTCTCATCTTATCTGTTGGCGCATGTGTTTTGGGTCACAGAAAAGAAAAGTATATGAATTATTTTTTTCTTTTAGACTATAGATCGTGCAATCACATTCCCTTAATGGTTGAAATATCAAGTAGATCCTTCTTGTTTTATGAAGCTCTTGACGTTGTCCTTCCGGAGATCCAGCATGTGCTTTTCACAAATTAAGTTGATTCGTTGTTCACTAATCTAGAATATATTTACTAGTGAAATAGTGGCTTTGTTTTCATAGTTTCATCTTCAAGGCAGTTCGTTCTTAAGTATACTGCTTAACAGTTGTCCGAGTTTTATGCTTGTTATTTCTTTTAATTCAATCAAGGAAGATACTGAGAGAAATTTAGAAATCTAAAGAAGTCTAAAATTAAGTTTTTTGAGTCTCTGGTAAAAATATGATTCTCTCTGGAGAAATATATGTATTTTTTTTTTTGTTTAACTGAATATAATATTTATTTTCTCTCGACCTTTACATAACCTTTCTGAGTTTGTTAGTTTAAGAAATACAATGCACTAAGTAGGGTTCTGAAGTGGAGAGGGAAGATATAATTTGGCAATACGTACGGTTTTCTGTCTCTGGATGCATTTGTCAAAGATACGTAACTAACAGAAAAAGAGGGGGATAGGAAATTTAGTGAATCATTGTTATCTCATTTCGTGATCCATATTGTCTCTTCAAATTTGAGGTCAGATTGTTATAGAGTCTTGCCACCTTTGAACGATCACTCTTTATATTATAAGGGTGGCATATTGCTTGTTAAAATGGAATGTTGCAACAATTCTAAAGGTGAAACATGTTATTAGCATAAGCTCTCTGTCGGCGAACTTTCTAGTTTTAGCTTTGCCCTTGAGTTGGCTAATTGCTACTCACCACACGGCTTTTGTAATCAATATCTGAGTGCAAAGTGATTTCCATGAATTCGTCATCGTCAATTGAACCTGTTGGTAACATTATACATTAACCTTTATGCTATATCTTGTTCTCAGATAGATGAATAGATGATAACTTGTCGGAAATACACATATGTATATATAACTGAAACTATACCAATTGCTGATGCTTAAAATCCTCTTTCCAACTGTTTTCTTTCAGGAATCGCTGCCTAGGATCCATTGTTCGTTTCTGATATCACGACATTGTAGGTGAAGATAATCTGGTGAAGCAGGTGAATTGTGAATTTTGCACACCTCCCTCGTTTATATATGTCAGTAAAAGAAATTTGGTTAGTAAGAAGAGCTAACTGGAGTGCCCTGTTTGCAGAAGTAAAAGTAGAGGAATAGAACAAGTTAAGATGGATTTTGTGTTAATGCTTTGAGTTTTGAGTTACCGATTTTAGGTTTTTTGTTTCGGTCTTTTGAGTGAGATGTAAAATCAGATTGCGGGATATAGTCAGACGTGTGTCATGCATCTCCGGTGAGGCTACGATACCCAAAACGCGAAAACGAAAAAAAAAAAAACAGAAAAGATAGACTGATATATATATTCTTTTTCTTTCCTAGAGTTTTCATCTGTAACATCTCTGGCAATTGGTTATGCTCAGGGAATGCTTTTTTTTTTTATTCATTTTTTTCCCCATTATTCTGTTATTTTCTTTTTGTACCTGAAATTACTGTTGATTTGTTAGTGTGAAACGTTTAAGGGTTTACCCGGTTAGGGACCCCATTAATAAGCCATCCCATATTCTGATTCTTACACTTTTAGGACTTGGTATGCAGCGATTGTGAATTTTTATTTTGGTATGTGGTTATGTTTAATGTTTTTGTTCTTTGCTTTGACTCTGTGATCCTCTGTTTAATTGATGATGTGGTAAATGTGAGATTCGTTTTTGGGCGGATGTGGAAGTCACACGTGCACCATCATCGAGATGGAATTGTATGATTGGTTGTCGTGGGACGTATTGATTGTGGAGTTTAGCTCTATAATGTGTATGTATTTGTTGCGAATGTGGCTTTCATGTCAACCCAGAAACGTCAAGTACGTCTTCAGTTCTTATGAGTTGATACGATCTCATATTCTCAAGGCGGATTTGGTAGAAAATTGAAACTCCATGACCACTTTTGAAAGACATTGAGCAGGAAGGATGGTTTCAGAGGCATAAGCGATACTGTTTGTGATGTACGGATATTCGATTGAGAAACCGCTAGACTTAGAGGAGATATAATGTAGTTAGCCTAAATAACAATGAGTAGAAAATTAAACCTCATTCTCTACTGGAATAATTTCGATGGACCAAGTGCACCATGGCGCGTATCAAGTTCATCTAAGTTGTTCTACAGTCTATTATAGCACTGGACTAGAGCGTCATTATAACGTGAAACAAATCCATCTAAGTTGCTCTACATGACATTAAGTTATTGAATCGGAACGCTACGAACCTACGAAGGTGATGCATACATCTAAGTTGCTCTCCTTCTCTCCACCAAGGAAGAATGTCTTGGTGGTTACTGATCAGGCAAAGAAAGCCATTATTTAAGTTTGAAAATCTTTGAAAGTGATAAAAAAGGAAAGAGAAAATCTTGTATAAAAGAGAGACCAACATTCCTTTCTTCCACTCCCATTTGCTTCCTTGTGCTTTCTATCACTCCAATATTAGCAGCCCAAAAGTTGAAAGCAGAAAAAGCAAGAAAGAGGAGGATTGATAACTTCCACCTTTTTGACCTTTTAGACCTTCTAGTTTTTACTACTAGGACCCTTTTAATTTGTGATCAATCTCTTTCAACTTTTTACTGCCTGCAGTAACTATTCAAGATGCAAATTCGACACCACCAAACAATGATACGAAAAGCTAACAGGCGGGCAACGGTGCTGGATAACCAATTTCTATTTGAAAGTGATATAAGTTGAATTTATAGAACGTTTGCCTCCGGATACTTTGAATGCTCATGATAAGAGTTCGACTCTCGTCTCTCTCTATTAAGCCTCATTTTAATACGAAAAGTTTGACTTATGGATTCACTAGGCAAACCCACCACAAGTTGCTCTGATAACAATTGAATATGATTAAGATTGGTTATTATAATTAAGATTATTTAAATGTTTTACCTAGTCATTGGCTGGAAAAAAAATCTTTTGTTAATTGAGAGAAGTTGGGGTGCACTGACGTAGTTGTTCTTTTATGGATGTTATATTTTATATATACTGGAAAATTTGTCAAATAATGTCAAGATGGCCGAGTTGGTCTAAGGCGCCAGTTTCAGGTACTGGTCCGAAAGGGCATGGGTTCGAATCCCATTCTTGACAATTTTATTTATTTTTATTTGTAACTTTCTTCCAAGCCGAGTAGTATTAGGTCCAGTGGGCCAATACAATCAATTTGGGCTTGACTACTTTGCATTGTTTTATGGGTTTGGGCTTGAGTTCTTTTCTTTGCTTTTGAGTGTTCCTTTATACACTATTTCTTATCTAACACACAAATTTTTTTTTTCTTCTAATGACTATTATACCCCATTGTTAAAGTTACCTAAATTCATTTTTGCTCATTACCCTTAAGTGGTGATAATGCTCACCATCCTATTTATTGTTGTTGAATGAGTTTAACTTTTGAGATTTGTGTCCATCCACTACGCATATCTCGAAGTTTAAATTTATCAAACAATAATAAATAGGATGCTGAACATCACCATCACTTGCTGATAGTGAGCGAAAATAATTCCTTTCAAGGGGAAGGCAAAATGTTTGACCCTTGCTGATAAGAAACCTTTGGCTGCCCCCTCTACCATTTTAAAACCTAGCTAACTCTATCCCATTCCATGCTCTATTGCTCTCTCAATCATCTCAGATCCGCAAATGGGTGTTTTTCTCCAATTTCTTAATGCAATGGATCTCCATAGCTTTTGCCATCAATTTTGATAAGATTGATGAGGGTGATGGGCTCTGGGTTGGATGGAGAATGGGATTTGCTGTTATTGGAGAAGAATGAGGATAGGCAGAAGAAGGAAAGGTTTGGGAGGGGGTTTGAGCGGTTGTGACAATTTTTTTTCTCTATTTTTAAGTGGGATGATTTAGGAATATTAAAAATTTACATGGTTGTCCAGAGAAATATGTAAATTTAATGGTGGGTGTCCAAAAATAAAAATTGGATGTACATCGAAAGTTTTTTTGTAGCGACCTTTATATTCCAACATGGTGTCATAAATTTCCCATGTATTATAATATGTGGGAAAAACGACATGACAATCACACTAAAATATTTATTTTTGGATGCAACAGAAAAAAAGACAAATTTTTTAATGTACGTTACTATTTTTTTAATATACTAGGTTGAAATAGAACTTACCTCTTCTACTCAGTATAACACTCAGAAGATTTATTTATTCATGCGTAGCATATAACTTTAATAACACCACATGACAGTGTGAGCAAAACAACACTATAAACTTTCTCTAAGATTAGAAAAAGAAATCATGTATAAATGACAACAAAATTTTTTTGGTGTTTCTAAAATTACAAAAGGAAAATCATGTAAAAATGACAAAAAAAATTTGGACCATTTCTCGATTTATGCGTGTCATCCTTGCGCAGGGGCCATGCTAATCTTCTCTGTATCGTTCCAATTTTATCGGATGTCCCCGAAGGAACAAAATATGTTGTCAAGCAAGACTAGATAAAGCAGTTTGTGAACTTTGTTTTGGTCGATGTGGGACGCTGGCTTCCGTCCTTTTAATAGTCAACTTTCTTTCGCAGCTAGGGCTTCTTCTGTGGATTGAGTATCCTGAGTCATAAACCCAATGATGTATCGAGTAAAACTGTAAACAAGTTTTGTTCCTAAACAACCTAAGAATCTACGAATTGTTCTAAACAAATTGAGCATTTGATAGTTGTTAACCCAGATCGAAAGACTTGGATAGTACCAAAAGTAAAAAACTCGACTTGTAAAGTATTTGAGTGAAACTGTGCTAATGGAACAACATCAACAACAACTTTGTCTATGATCTCACCTCTTCTACAAAAGCATGAAAAAAGCAAACCAAAATTGCAGCTATAAATATGGTTCTTGAAAGCAAAAAAAGGGCTCCTGAAAGACCTTCCAACGAACAATTTTGTTCGTCGGTTGACAATTTTCCATTGGCCGGAAAAGTATCGTTTTGTTAAAGTACGTGATGCCTCTGATCACCTGAGGATTCCACTGCCTTCCCTCCTCAGCTTCTCCTCCTTTGATTTTCTACAAAAAACCACCCAAGAATTCACCTCCAAAGCAATACAAACCCCAATCAGTGTGGACAATCCCAAACAGTAAACCAGTTTAGCAATAGACCTTCCTTCTCCCATCACCTCAAAACCTTCAAAAACATTCACCACACCCAGCACCACACATGCATACCCAACAAAATGGTGGTAAGATTTCCAGTACTTCCTGAACTTGGTTGTAGTTTTAGGTCTAAACAATAGTGCTAGGGTTTGCAGTCCTCCCAAGCAAAATGCAGCAAACCCTAGTTTTCTGTGGAGCCCATACTGGACCCCAGGTGACATATCCCCAAGCTTAATCCCGATAGCAAACCCTACAGTCCCTAGGAAAAAAGCAAACAGTTGGACCCCAGCGTGCACATAGAACCATGTGGGCCCTAATGATTGTATGTGCCTGAGGTAGCGTGCAAGCACTGCTCCAATGGGGAGCATGATGCCCCATGCAATGGCGTTCATGATGCCATGCACTGTTCTGAGTGTGCCAATGTTGGAGTGACGTGTGGCCGTTGTGCCTGACATGACATCAAATGTCGTTATGGATGAAAGGTCGTTGGCTGTGGTTGGGTGTATGGTTGGCGAGTAGCCTTGGACGTAGAGGCCGCGGTTCCACACGTGATGGAGCTTTGTCTTGTTCGGCGTGAGTTTTAATGTAGCGAAGATTTGGACTGCAGCACCGCCGTGGACGGTGGCTAATTTCCCGCCGTATAGGGTGGCGGACGAGGAGAGAATGTGGATGTCCAGAGGGCGAGAGAGGAGAGGGCGTTTTTGGAGCTTTGTGGTTGGGTCTAAGAGGTAAGTGAGGAGGACTATTTGACCGGTGCTAGGGTCCGGAAAGGCAATTAGAGCACGTGTGCCAGTCATTTCCGGGGAGGTCGGGTTGATGCCCCACCCAACCCACCCAGAAGGAGATATGAAAGTACCAAAGAAGACAAGGTCTAGGGTGGCATTGTGGCGATGGAAAGTCCATGCTATGGAGGCTTGTTGGGTAGGGAGTGTGATGCATTTTTGAAAGGTTTTGGCGGCGGTGGTGGTGGTGCAATGGGCGGAAAATGTGACAGGGGGAAAGGAAAAGAGAAGGAAGAGGGATAAGAAGAAGAGCATATTGATGGCTGGGAAGAAGAAATGAATATCAAAGGGAATGGGAGCTAGAGGGATGTAGAATCGGTTGGGAAGCTTTTGTTAACATTTATGTGTTTGGTAATGATGTGGTTGATGCAATTGACCATCATGGCTGTGGTGGGAATATGTGTACTGAATAGTTTTTTTGTGTGCTTAGCTTTGAAGTTAAGGAAACCAAAGTGTTTGTTCGGTGGAGTAGAAAATGAGGGTTCGTGTGGAAGTGAACGTGGCTTTTGTGATGAATTGATATTGGGCCAAAATTTCATCACTTTTTTATTGGGATTTTTTTAATGGAAGAGATATTTGCAAGGATTGTGCTTGGCTTTGAAGCAAGGGAATCATAATATAGAAAATATAAGCTTCGGCACAATTATATATAGGGCGCTGGATATTAGGGAGGAGAGCGATTGGTGGGGATCAAGTTTGCACCAGGATGAATAGATATTATTGTTTTTCATCACTGCATTAAGGCACCATCTGCATATGACGCTGGATGGTTAACAAACTTAATTTCATTTGCTTAATCAATTAATCAGATCATCACCCAAAGGGGCAAAGACGTTTTCTTTTTGGCTAATTCCTTGCCAAAGTTGATCCGTTTTGTCTAATTGGAATTGCCAATTGGCTCTCATTTTCTTGCCTTGAGTAAAAATTACTTATAGTCTGATAGCATTTTTGAATTATAGCGGCAGAGAAAATACGAGTAGGGAAAAATCTCAAGATTTTGTATAAATTTGGAAGGAAATATAAGTTAGTTATCAAGTTATTTTCTCTCTGATTTTAATAATATATATTGTATATATAAAAATTAAATAAATTAATTACAGCTAACTCAGCGAACACACAACGCCTTCTAAAAAAAGTAGTAACGCTTAGCACCAAGTGAGGGTGGTGAGCAAATTCGAACTTCTCATGCTATTGATTACACTGCTCTTTTATCAAACACAATTTACATATTCAATCATTCCATTTCTATATCAAAGGGTTTCACAACCTAGATATTTTAGTTCTCCCCTCTTCCTTTCACCCCCTTTTTACGAAAAAGTAGTTTGAAATTTCAAGCTAATTATTCTTGTGGGAACAAAGGTTAAAGATATCCAGCACTTTATTTATTTTTAAGAAGTATTTCTTTACTTATCTCTTTATGTACTAAAAAGGATTAATTATGTTATACCTTTTAGATTTAGTTTGAATTATTACAAGATTTCAATGTTCTTACATTGCATTATGAAGTTTTAAAACGAAAAAATTTGTACTTTCCGACAATTTAATCATCTGAACTTTTGTTAAGTTGATGACATGACATATTTGAGACTTGTTTTGAAGTGTACATAGAATTTATGTTTAAAATATTGGGATCAATTGCAATTGGTTGTCACTTTTGGCTACAAAACATCAATCGTGGAAAAACTAAAACACCATGGAGACAATTTTCAGTCCACGTGGTGCAAATAAGGCTTTTACGTTAAGAAATATGTCACATGTCTATCACGTTATCAATTTAATGGAGAATAATAAAAAAAAATTACGATTTTAAACTTAATGATTAAATGTGAGAAAATTAAAATCATGTGATCCATTTTGAAAACCACCCTAAACTTAGAGAGTAAAATAATGTTGTTGCACAACACTTTGTAAAGAAAAAGTAAACTAAAATCTAGCAAATATGAAGCAACCAAGTTGGTTAAGATAATGTATTTCTCATTTCTACCTAAGTAACAACTTGCGTGATTTTTTTTAATGAACTTGTGTGATTTGAGTGCTCCATTGCCGTGATGTCTTTGTATATAATACAATACAATATCACGTGTAAGTTTTTATTAACGCGACATTGAATATATATCATTGACATGGTAACCGAACGGCGTCGTTAGGTGTTAGTAACTGTGACTGTCAGTTTGTGCGTGCGACTGTGAGAGAGAGAGAGTGCAAGGGGACCAGCGATGGAGCGAGAGAAAGCGAGAGTGAGCTTGGAGGGAGGGAGAGTGATTCTGGTGCCGTACATGAACGAACATGTCCCAAAATACCACGAGTGGATGAAAGACCCAGCTCTCCTCCAAGCCACTGGCTCCGAGCCCCTCACCCTCGACCAGGAATACCAGATGCAGCTCACCTGGACCCAAGACCCCAACAGTACTCTCTTTCTCTATCTTACGTGTGTTTGTGTGGGTTTTGGTAGATTCCTTTGCTTTTTCATGACAAAAACTGAACTGGGTTTTCGGGGTTTGACAAAAAAGTGGTGATTGTGGAATCTGATATTGAAGGTTTGATCTTTCAGGAAAATTATAAAAAGGGTTCAATTTAGTTTTGACAAATGATTGAGGGTTTTTTGTGTGATTGTATTAGTGGTTTGGTGAATGATTGAAGAGTTGAAAATGGTTTTTGCAGAGCAGACTTTCATTGTATTGGATAAGCAATTGCTTTTGGGAGAGTTCAGCCATGGAGAGCCCCGTGTGGAAGGTTAGCCAAATTAACAGTCTTTATTCGCAAAATTACCTTCTGATTGGTTGCTGAGAAAAATTATGGAGACATTCAAATGATTACTTAAGAACGGTTGGTTGGATGGTTTTGGATGAAATCATGAGAAGGTTGTTACTTTTCAGCACGTAAACTTGGGAACTGTTAAGTTATATCAGTTTACAGGATATTGTTTGTGATTTTCTGATCAGTTTTTCTTTATTAGAAATTGAGGCTTTCTGGGAAACTTCGATAAAGATCATATTTTTAAGGGACTTTGTTTGTGTGTTATGATTTATGAGTGAGTAATAGTATGCCCTTTGCAGCCATGATAGGTGATGTGAACTTATATATGAATGATCTCGATGATCCACACATGGGAGAGATTGAAATAATGATTGCTGAACCCAGAAGGTATGGTGAGGCTGAAGTGCTTGCGTTTGTGCCAATATGGGTTTCTTTTCTTTCTTCTATTTGTATATGTGCTTTTTTTATTTGAAGCATTTCCAGCGCCAAAAGATTTATACCTGCTCACTTGTTTCCATTTTAGGAACAGTATATGTATGCTATAATGTAATTTTTCAATACCATCTCTTGCTGCCATAGTCGTGGTCAAGGACTTGGAAAGGAATCTGCCTTAATGATGATGGTTTTTGCAATTGAAAATTTGGGAATCCACGTCTTCCGTGCTAAAATTGGGGACCAAAACGGAGCGTCTCTTAGCTTGTTTTGGAAATTGGTCTGTGACTCTCTCTTTCTGATTTTCTCTTATCACAAACTCATGCAATTTATCTTGCAATATTGGCCTCTCATATTTTACTTGCATTTTGCACTAGTTGTTCCTGGCGGTTCAGTAAACTCACATATGGTTGATGCAGGGCTTTGAGGAGACTTCTCATAGTGAAATCTTCAAAGAGGTGAGCAGAATTATCTCGATGGAATCTGCATATATTCACAGGCTTTAGTTGGTCTATGCGGCTTACATCTTGATTCTTGGATTTCAACAGAAATACTCTTTTTAATGTTCTGACTCACTTTATGACCTTGGAGTGGCTCAGAATATCGCTATGACTTATAATGGATGTTTATTTACAATATAGCTTATGCACTGTCCTGCTTCAAATAAGTTATTTTCCAATAGTGTCATGTTGTTAAAAGGCGCCCGATACCTGTGTTGAAAAGAATAAGAACCGTAAAGAGTTTAGAGGTCTATCAATTTGTGGGTATCAAGTCTCCTCACCAAAGTTTCTCTTCAACGATTACAACAATTAGTTTTTAACTTTTTCTTCAACATCCACATTCAGTGATGGAGCTCCATCCGTCAATTTTAACAAATTTCCTGTCATATATATGATAGGTGACCTTGGATTTACATGTAACAAAGAACAAGCATGAGGAGCTGCTGCAGATGGGTAGCTTCGTGACTCATACCTAGCCGTCAAGGGCCTATTTGTTTGTGCCAATTCTCTACTTCACAATCAACATCAACTCTTTCACTAGTGCTTGGTAGGCCTATATGCTTGTTTAGACTCTACCGTGTCATGGAAGTTAACCTTACTGAACAGGGCTACACTAAAATGCTAGGGCTAGACTTCACATTCATCCAATTTGAAGATAATTTTTGCTGGTTTACTAATTTTCTATCCATTTTCTACCCTTCTTTAATTACTTATTTCTGTTCGCCTGCTGGTTTGTTAGTAAGCTATTGCTGTTAAACACATAAAGAAAAAACATGGTAGCAAAGATGACCGGAGTTGTTCACCCTGACGGAAAATCAATTTTTCTGACGGTTTTGAATATTTGGCCCAGGTTGCCGTATATGATTGAACTGTGGTGCTAGTAGCTATTGTGCAGATATGTTTGAAACTTGAAAGCAAGAGGTCTTGTTTGCATTCAGGGGCTGTAACTGGTTATAGGTGTTGTATAAACTGCTTCTCTCCCGTTACAACTGTGCAAAGATCGAAGATAGCCTTCCGGTTGGATTGATTACCAAAGCAATCCATCCTGTAGAAGCTTGAGTAGTTCTGCTAGCTAAATTGGATGCTTCTGGTGGATTGAATGTAGTTCCAATGGAGGCGGGGTTGTAGTACCTGAAGGGTCACTTCAAGAACCGAAGATTCAGTTGGTCGAAAAGGTGCAATCAGAGCAGGTTTTAGTTTCAGCAGGAATAAGTAACCACAAGAAGATTGAGAAAATTGAAAATTATAAAAAGAAAATATATAAAAAGTTCTTGCAGTTATTTCCATGGATTACTGGATATGGAGCTTGAAGAAGATTAATTAATAATTAAGATAATGCATGATTAAATTATTAATTATAATTTAGAATCAAGGTGACAACACAAGCTTAAGGCATATGCATTCCTCTGTCAAGTTCAAACTTACATGCGCGCGCGCACACACAGAGGAGGCGTATTCACGGCACCAAATTTTTTACACAACTTTTGACGTATGTTTTTGTGAGGTGCACTTCGTAATTTACATTAGAGGTGTTCTATTCACACTCCTTTTTTTATTTCACACACACTTTCTTAATTTTCGGCCATCGGATTGAATGAATTGAATGAGATCAAAGGACATAAATTAATAAGAGGTGTGTGGATATCACACTCCTTATTTTAACGATCCTAACCGTTTATCTTTTAAACATTCTTCATAGATCATTTTTGCAAAAAATTTGAAAAATCCAAAACCATAAAGGCATTCATTGTAATGAAGAAAATGGACGAACACGGATCTAGAAAGAAATCTCAAATCTTTAACCTAACAGTGACACGCCCCAACCCCAATATCCCCAAATATCAGGGTAGGCACATGTTGGCCAACATCCAAGGGTGACGAAGCCATTAAAAACATGCATACTGATAAAATATGTAATTAGAAAGATATAAACCAATGCAGAATCGTATTCAGAGCATACAACTACTAAGAATAATATGGAAGGAATTATTATGAAAAGGTACGAACAAAGAAATGATACCTATACTAAGAAGACTCGAGAATACCTATACTATAGAGTCCAGATGCCGGGATCATGTGCCTCGATCCTAACTCCTGAAGGGGGCGCAAAACTAGAAAAGGTGAGTGGACCAAAATTTATAATAATAATACTAGTAATATGGAAACCATTTTCTTTATGAACATACTAACCCCCTATTTTGAAAACATATATAATACTACATATAGGTTTTATAAAAACCCTAGCATGCAATGAAAAATGTTTGTAAAATCGATACATGTAAAACCATGCTAAAAAATGCTGAAAAAGTCGCCCGAAGGAAAATTCGTAAATTTCATCAGTAAAGTACTCAACCAGGGGTATCATAGTCGTCCGAAGACAGTACTTGTCTGTCACCTGAAAGTGAAGCTGAATAAATAACATACATCCACATCGACACTAGCCGTGGCTAGTGAAACTGTTCGACACCACTTTCGGCGGTGAAGCTGGGGGTATATAATATATCATATCTCATTGCTTCATCATCTGTGTCCTATGGCCATAGACATAATACCCGTGGTGCGCGGATGTGCTGTATGATAACCCACTAAAGAAGTACTAAAAACATACCTCAAAATCTTGTATCAAACATCAAAGCTTAAAAGCTCAAACCTCGCCTCATAAATCTGTGGCAAAACATATTCATAAATATGTAATATAAATTATATTAAAAAAACCATAGAAATCAATAAATGCAAATCCAATAATTCATACTCTTTAATAAAACGTAATTTCGATAAATAGTAATTATAGAAATATGTAAAACATAATATAAAGCATATTCAATGCATGAAGTATGAAATGCATGCTAGGTTAATGATTTATAAACTTATATAATTAAGAAGGGGTCCACTCACTAGTTTTTCCAGTGGCTGAAGCTGCTCGAACTATTTAGGATGTAATCCTTTCTCGTTAATGTGCCTAAACACAAATAGGGACCTTTTAGTAAAACTCTACTAAAACGTTATAATTTTGGAAAATGGATGGCGGATTTAGATTCGGCAAGTCGAGGGACCTCGGATTTTCCTCCACGCGTTGCCATAAGTGGTGGTCGGCCACCCCGACTCGCAGGAAAATCCAACAACTCCAAAAATTCTTAAATTTTACAAAAATGAAGATCTCGATGAGTGGAGCAACTTCATACCTGTGACTAAGGCCGAGAAAGTCCCCAATTTCACTAAAACTCGTCGGAAACCCTAAAAATGGTGCTTCTTAATTCATCCTTATATCGACTCCAACGGTCCCACCAATGATTGGGAATTGTTCCTGAGCTCAAGGGGAGTTGTTTGATGGTGGGGATCGATGAGATTGCATTTCAGGAATGGCGGATCGCCGCTTAGAGACTCACGGGTTGCCGTCGGAGTTCACGGCTTCGAACTTCATAATTTAGAGCCCAATTCCTTTGATTTTTAGGGTGAAATGTGAAGAAGGAAGGTTGCAGAGTCGGTTCTAGATGGTGGATGGCCATAATTTGTCGGAAAAACTGAAGAAAACCGAAGAGAATCGCTAGAATTAGCCTTGGGTCAAAACCGGGTCGCGCGGATTGGATGGGTGTAACTGGGTCAAGGGTAATTCGGTGCATCCCCTTTCTCTTCTTTCCCTCCTTTCTCTCCTCTCTAATTGGTCACTATCTCCCTTCTCTCCATTCGTCTTCACCTCTCCCTCCTTTCTCTCATTTATTTTCGATCTCCATCGACTGTCACATCCCGGCCCGGGGCGATCACTTCCCGGGCCCGCTCCACCACCGTAGCACGATATTGTCCGCTTTGGGCCCCGACCACGCCCTCACGGTTTTGTTTCTGGGAACTCACACGAGAACTTCCCGATGGCTCACCCATCCTGGGAGTGCTCTCGTGCGCTACTCGCTTAACTTCGGAGTTCCCATGGAACCCGAAGCCAGTGAGCTCCCAAAAGGCCTCGTGCTAGGTAAGGATGAGAATATACATTTAAGGATCACTCCCCTAGGCGATGTGGGATGTCATAATCCACCCCGCTTAGGGGCCTGACGTCCTCGTCGGCACACACGTGACCAAGGTTATGCTCTGATACCAAACTGTCACATCCCGGCCCGGGGCGGATCACTTCCTGGGCCCGCTCCACCACCGTAGCACGATATTGTCCGCTTTGGGCCCCGACCACGCCCTCACGGTTTTGTTTCTGGAACTCACATGAGAACTTCCCCGGGCATGCTCCACCACCGTAGCACGATATTGTCCGCTTTGGGCCCCGACCACGCCCTCACGGTTTTGTTTCTGGGAATCACACGAGAACTTCCCGGTGGGTCACCCATCATGGGATTGCTCTAGCCCCCTTCTCGCTTAACTTCGGAGTTCCTATGGAACCCGAAGCCAGTGAGCTCCCAAAAGGCCTCGTGCTAGGTAAGGATGAGAATATACATTTAAGGATCACTCCCCTAGGCGAAGTGGGATGTCACACCGACTATCTCTCTTTCCTTTAAGCTGGGCCACACACGTGGCTTTCTAGATTTTGCTCCAAAATTCTGGAGCCTTCTAGAAAATATTCAATTTACTAAAATGCTCCCAACTTTAAACGTTAATATCTTATTTGTTATAACTCTAAATAACGTTCTGTTTGCGCCTACGTGTTTGTAGCGACGAGTACTACAAGATTACACCAAGAAAATGAACCTTACGTGACACGACAAGGCAGTCAACATAAGTCAATGTATTTGCCTCGAAGGGCATTTTCGTAAATTCACCTTTTAAAATTATAAAAACTATAATTTTTGGGGACAGGTCGTTACAAATATTCATATGATTTCATAAGGTTATTATTGGTAGACATGATTTTTAAAGGAAGACTTAAAAGAGAAACGATTCGGTTTTTGAAATACATTGCGGAATAAACTTCACAAAAATGTGTCAAAATTTTTATAAAAGTGGTGCTATGAATTCGTCCCTATACATAATAGTACATGTATCTTTAATATTAGAAAGCTAGAAGGAGAGTTTGGTGCCTTAAGGCTTCATCAAGGATTCAAAATCAAAAAATTAACCCTCCACGTTCTACAAATTTTTCCATCAATTGGGGTTCTTTTCCAACTCAATTTATCAGGAGCAAATGATAGCCCATAACTGCCTCTCCCAATTATGGTCCACACAACAATCCAAGAACAGGATAAAGGAATAAAGAACACATGCATGGAGTACTGGCATTGTTTAATTTCATTTTGGGTTTTTCTTTTATAGTTTTTTTTTTTTTTTTGTTGAAATTTTTGTTCTCTGTAGAAACGTGAAGCAAGTAAAGGCAGAAGAGTAAGAGCTCGTTTGGATGTACTTTTAAAATGACTGAAAGCGCTTTTAGAGAAAATATTTTTGGGTTCCAAATGCACTTTAAGTGCTTTCAGAAGCACCGGTTAAAGTGCTTTCAGAAGCACCGGTTAAAGTGCTTTCAGAAACACCAGTTATGTGTTTCTCTCGGGAATCACTTTAAGTGTTTTTTCAGGATTTACTAACATTTTTACTAAGGATTGTTTTCAAAAATATTTTCACCAAAAGAACTTTCAGTCATTTTAAAAGTATATCCAAACAAACGCTAGGTTTGTTTACAGGATTTTTATGGGCTTTTAAAACTGAAATTAGCAGTTGCAATTGGTTTTATTTCTTTCCCGCAAAAACTAAATCGTCTTCACTCGAAAGTATGTTACTTTGATAGTTTGATGTTTGATTTATTTTTAATTTCCCTTTTTATCATTAACTCCAGATTTGATCAAATATATAGGCTGATTGGTGAATCCCCAGTGATCGATGCGTTTTCAATATACGAGTTGGTGGTTTCATTCTTTTGGGTAAGTTCGTTTAATTCATTTTTTCCTCTTGTCCATGAATTAATTTTAATTAATTTAGTACAAATGTTCATTTTTGGTTTCTGGGAAATTGAAAGTTTGAACCTTTTTTATTTGTGTAATCAGTTTTGAAGTTTGTTTCACAAGAGAAAATATGGAAGAAGGAAGAGAAATAATTAACCATACAATGCAAGCCACTCAAACTAAAATCTAAAGACAGAGTCAATCGACATACTCTTTTGTGTTGTTAAAAAGAGATTAGCCATCTACAGAGCTAGGGAAAATCCTCAGATCCAGTTTGATTTTTCATTCTTCAATTTCTTTGTTCCTTGCAGATTTGTGAATAAGGATTGGGACTACAAAGTAGAAGCTCTGAAAATTTCCGTTATGAAATTGGAGATGTTTCGCCAATGATTCAAGTGGGTATTGATGTCTTC